AGGCCCATCCTCGCCAGCAGCGCTGGGAAATCTTCCTACCAACACACTCAACCTCTAGCCATAAACGAGCCGACTCCTTCTCAGATGTTCACTCGGCAACGACTACATCTCCCGGTTTCCATACACTCTCTGCCTTCTGAACTTCCATCCTTTTCACTGCATTCTACAGAAAGGATTTTGTTACTACATTCTAGATAAAGGATATTGTTACTATCCTCAAGTTACACAGAAAACACTCAAGGATACGAAAGCCATATTTACTTGACACTTATTGACTGCTAGTGCTATCCAATTTGAAGAATTAAAAGATGAAAGATTTCCAAAAATCCATGCATATGTGAGTACTACTAATTTACAGTAGATCAGTCAGCCACAAAAATCTACCTTCATCTTAGTTTAAGGTCAGAGTTGGAATCTGAGATAAGGTGGTATTTACTCTCTTAATTGTAAAATATTACTGCATATTGGTCCTACCCCTTATTTTTCCAAACACATTTTATTACTATAAATCACAGGCACTAACTGAAAATTCTCTATAAGGGAGTTCATTAAAGTAGTGTAGAAGTTGAATCACATCACACATAGCCCTAGACTTCAGCATAAACATACACATACACACCCCTGCACGTCAAATGCATTTTAGATATGCATTAGTTTTACTGCTGAGAACTGATGTAAGTTACCTAAAAATTAAGACATTATCATAATTAATTTGCATCAAATTATAAGCTGTAACAATCTAAGATGATTCATTTTTAAAACTTTACCATAATGATTCTATGTATACTGATAACCTTATAGATGCAGGTATACTGCATTTTAAAGTATAAGCTTTTAAAACAAGAAACCATTCTCACTGCTCAAACAGCACTGTGCTTGACGCCTGGGTGTGCCCACATGCACACGAAGCACACACACTCATACACAGACACTCCTAATCTTACACCTGCTCTGAAGCAGTGGGAAGTGAATTCTCAATCTGTCAACATGACCATCTGGTCTATCTGCATAGCACGGCTCACTCTATTACTATATGAAGGAATGGCAATCACACCGCCAAAATGAAACGAAAACGCACCTGAATGGGAGCAGCTCTCTTTTGGGTGAGAGAAAATAACACGGAGCAGATCAGAGCAAAACTAGCAGGAATCTAATAATTCAAAATGAGCATTTGCAACAGCATAATTAAGTAAACAATATGGTAATCAGTTACACTGTTGTACAGGTTTACTGGACAGGTACCAAGCTTCCAAGACAGCTGCTTCAGTTGTTGGGACTTTTGCTATTCCTTGTCCAAGCAAAATTCAAAAAAGGTCATGATGGGGTATCATGGAAGTAATCAGAAACTAGTGTACTAAGAGATCACTGTGGAAAAGTGTTCACTTTTCTCCCTTAAAATTAGCAAGTACTCATATTGCCATTAGGGCAACAGCCGCTTGCTTTGTCACTGGCTGATTAACAATTTCACCAATTACCTGACAAATTCTGGTCACTTACCAGTCTTTCAAAGCGAATTTTAAGACATCTAAAAAACATCCAATCTTAGAAAATTCCTCATCTGCAAAAAGTGAAGGGGGCTCCTGGTGAGTAAGCTTTGGGCCTAATGCCACCTGAAAATGAGTTGGATTTAATATAAATTCATTTGTTTAATTTTAGTTTAAAAGTTTTTAGTTTTATTCTTTACGCAAGCAAATATAAACTGTGACGCCGTCGTCCTGTGCCCTAAACCCATCAACGTACCTCTACCCAAGAAATGAGTCCTTGAAAAATCTAACCCCTTACAAAATTTAAGTACCTCAGCTACAAATCTTTCTGGAATCTGATTACATTACCAGAAGTTATACAGAAGCAGTTTAAAAAAAAAAAAAAAAACTCTCCAGAAAGTTCTCGGTTGAGCGCCTACTAATGAACAAAGGTTAACTTTATCTAAAAGGTCAAATGCCTGGTGGCTAAGGTTATGACCTTAACAACTTAAATTGTGACCTTGCCACGTGCCGGGTATATTGTAGATTCTGATACTGATCATCTGGTAAAGACTGGCCATAAATTAGCTTTACTGTTACACACCCACAAAGAAAACCATTTGCCATAATACCATAGTATCTCCAAGTTGTCACAGGACACATGGGAAGAACTAGTCAAACGAGACCAAATTAAGGGCACGACGTGGTTTTGTTCTTTTATATTTTTAACAAAATGAAATTCTCGAGCTTATGGAATCACTTTGCTTTTATTATATTTGTTACTGTTGATTAGCCACAAAAATCACACAGTTCTAATACCACTGGATTTAGAGGAAAAAAAATGAAACGTAATTCATGTATTATATTTGTAGCATCCCAGTTAAGTCTCAGAATAAAACACCTCTGCTTTTCTGCATTTGTTTCCAGTATTTACGTACACATTCTAAGGTTTCAACTTCCTACCAAAGAAAAGGGCTAGGCATGAAACAAAAATTATTGTACATATTTTTAGAAGGAAGAGAAGATTTCAATTTCTGTGGTCATGGAGGGGGGAAAAGGGCATTGTGGAAGAAAAAAAATACGTTTTAAAGGAAAGAGAGAAAAAACACATTATAGGTGAAAAGGCCACAATGTTTTGGCGTGTATCTTGAAGCACGTTTCAGAGTCTCTGCCTCTTGCCAATACTGGCAAGTTCTCAAAACTTTTAAGGAGGTAAAAACATTGTTTAGTGTTTACAAATCTTCAGTATTATAACAGATGCTTGTCAAGTCAGTTGTATGTGAGTTGACCAATGCACCTCTTATTTATACTGGCAGCTTCCTTTCCACAAATAACGGGTCTCCAAATCTCTTAAATCAAATGTGCAATATTTTCAGAAAAAGGCCTTTAATATTTTCTGTTACAGTCTTCCTGTTGCACCCACAGAGAAGTAGCCATTATTTCGGTCCTGTGAAAACCAGTGGCCAAATACTTGGCTGGTATTCAGGCACTACAAGGGATTCTGGGCTACGTCAGGAAAACCAAACCGAAAGGTAGTCTGATCCATGTTGCTGTCCATAAATCTTTCATAAGCAATAAGGGTGCTAACTCTCCTACACAACCCTCTAAATGTCATTTAACCAACCTAAACCTTCCCGGTATTATAACAACAACAACAGCCGCAGTGTCAGCTCAAGGATCCTGAACAATAGCATAATAACAAACCAACACCAACAAAACAGAATGCATGTAATCAGAATGGCTAGAAAAGTTGCATTTCCTTAAATCTAAGGAAAATGCTTAAGTCAAAAACTTAGAAGGGATACTGCTTATGCCGATGAAAACTGCACAGCTGTTTCAGTTTGAAGTGATCTCGGGAGGAAGCACACATCACGATCTGATGTGGTGCTGCTGGCCCCCTCAAGTTTCTATGTTGGTAAATTATAGTATTCACTGTAACTCATCAATTATATTTCTTAAGTGTCTAAAAGATAAACACAAAATCTCAAAGCGTACTCCTTGAAAACACTCGTGATACTCACACTTTTTTCCACACCTTGCCGAACTACCATATGCAAAGAGATTAGGAGATTTTTTAACTTTGCTGTTTCAGTAGACGGAACAAATTAACAATGGGATTGAAAAGGAGGTGAAGGAAGGGCCCCCTGCTCCTGTTTGGACGTCACGGGACAGGTGCCGCCTTTTCATTTTTGCTGCCAGCGCTAAAGCAACAGGCAATTCTTATAATGAAGTATACATTTTCAAAAACCCCAATATCTGAAATACTTAAACAGATCAATCACATCCTCTAAAATATTTATTGCAACAGAATGCAAATGATGGTGTGACATGTTTGCAAAGGAATTTCTCCAGTTTCCATTGTAAGGGCAGATAAATAACGCAAGTTCTCCTTCTAAATCACATATTGAGAAAAATAAAATGGGCTACCAGCTGACTTCTTTAAAAAATAACTAAAATGTTTTGAAAAACAGTGCAGCATTGATTTGACATCTCTCTCCTTTGTGGACAAAACGCCTTAATATATATGCCCCCAAACAATCGACTAGTGGGAGCCCACAACCTTCTTTCTTCCATCTGGTTCAAGTAACTGCCATGAAGGTATCCAGCAAGACCGATATGTACGTATAAAAAGTCAACAAGTTACACAAGACCCGAGCTTTCCCAGAACACAATGGGTCTTTTGTCTAAAACAAGAAGAAAGGAACAAAGTAAAAGTGCATTATTTTATCCAGTCCTCAATAGTTTAATCCTGATCGCTACTCTAAATCCTGAACCATGTACAAATCAACACACCTTGGGAAAAAAAAATTAAAAATTTTATAATAAAGCAACTCACTACATCAATTACCAACAGCAATTTCTCAATGTTCAAGCGCTAGATAGGTCAGTTCCTTTTGGTATTAACTTTTCCATCAGTTAAAGAGTTGGTTGGTTCGTTTCCCTTAGCTATCTGAGCCAACGGTAAGAATTCCTAAATACAAAGCTGCTAAATCTGTAGATTAATTTGATTAATCTTCCTTCATAAATGATCAGTAATTCAATAGTAATCTTACCTTAAACTTCTTAATTGGCAAGGAGTTCAAGAGGCCCCAATGGGTTAAAAACTCTCCCAGCAGAAAAGCAACTAAAAATATTGCCTCAATACCAAACAAAATGCTTCTTAACTAGATCACTTGTCAGTTAAAATACCCTCTTTATGGCAAAGGTTTCCATGAGACTTCTCTCAGCCGTCATCAAAAAAATGTGATTTAAACATATCACATGTCTGATCACCAACACCGCTGCAAACACTACTTACCAAAAGAACTGTACTTAGTGAGAATTCTCTCAAAGGCATGCTCTTCCACCTGAATGAAGGTGGCACCTCGGACACGGGGGCTACAGGCCACTCTGACTCTGGTTTATCTTTGAAACCACCCTGGCTTTCTGTACACAGCCTGCAACGTGGGGAGTTCCGGAATGATCCAGCATATACCAAGGCCATCAGGAAAGGAAAACACGCAAGAGAGTGGAAGGGGTTCTCACCATTGCACTTACCTGCTGCATGCACAAAGTATGCCAAATATAAATCGAGTTCCTTAACAGAAACCCCTATGTGATGGGGCTGGACACAGAGCCCTGGATTAGAGCACTGTGGGGACTTTACAAGGCGCTCACCATCAGTACTTTCCAGCGGAATACCTTTAAACAAAATCACCATGACAAGGTCCAACCTCCAGACTTTATCTGCCTGGCGGAGGCAGTCAATTCTTCGCATCTTGCCTTTCTGGTCTGGGTTGGAAAGAACACAGCATGGAGGTTTCTTCCCTGTAACTGTAAGAACAAAATCCTCTCGGTACTCCGGGCGGATGTCTTTGCGTAACTTTGCCAGAAGTCGAGATGCCCACTTCTGCTTGACCTCCGGTTTTTCACTTAGCAATTCATCCTTCACGGCTCTCTCTTCTTCTTTCGACATACGTTTTTCGTGTTTTTTGAAGTATTTTCGTTTTCGGGCCTGCAGGTTGAACCATGTGTAGGCGAAGGCTCGGACGTGGGGCAGAAGTGCTTCGATGAAAGGATGAAATTCATCCTGGGGAGATGAAGAACAATAAAAACGTGAATAGAATGAAAACGAAAGACAGCGACTTTGCTTTAGATGGTTCCTTTAAAAAAAAAAAAAAGAAAGATGTCTCGTTCCATTTGAAATTCGATTCAAACACTCTGCTACCAAAATCGTGCACAGGATTCCTATCAGTGGGCTGAGGTGGGGGCAAGAGAATCTATGGGTGTCATTTCTCATGATCAGAAAGAAAAAAAAATGGCTAAAATTAAAAAAAAATAATAATGTTTTGATGTGTTCACCCAAGTACACCAGCTTCTGCTGTCAGGCCTGGTTCCTCAGTGCTTGACATAGTAAGTGAAGTTTATCCAAATGCTTATAACAATATATAATCTTAACCCTATTTCAAGGAAAGCATATCTAATTTTGTCCCAGCCTTGACCTCACCACTTGTAGTACAGCCAGGGCCCAGCCGCCAGATTGGCAAACCCCAAACATCTAGATGCCAGTCAATGTTTATGGAAGTCTAGGAGCAAAAATCATCTCCACAATCAATGAAAACAAAGGCTTTCCCTCTAAAAATAGTCCATGTTGACTCTGATCTGCTTCTTATTCATGTTGGTAATATCTTTATTCCTCCTTTAAATAGTATATTTATACAAAATTTTTTTAGTCAGAAACTTAGAAAAATTTTGCAGATCCATATACAAAAGAAGGGATAAATCTGATATTAGGCCAAAAAAAAAAAAAAACCCAAACCTATGTCCAAGACACAATTGCTGATACTATAGGAATGAAACAAAAAAACCAAAAAAAAAAAAACCCCAGAAAATCGCACATGCCAGACATTAAACAGAATGGTCATTGTGACAACACTGTTACAACACAGCACATTTAATTTACTGATAGGATTGTGAAATGCCTTTGGCAATAATCATGCCTAAAAACCAGATTATTTAACCTTTTAAAAATAGTACTTTAGGGTTTTTTTTTTCCTCACTGAGAAACAGAGAACCTGGAATATTCAATGTTTCTAAGATACCAGGAAAACTCTCATGATGGCCTATGAAAATTCAAGTAATATTAAAATAAAATTGAAAGTATTTAAATTTTTCTTTTTATTTTACTCAAAGTATTTGAATCTTCTAGGTGACATTTTCTTGGGAAATATAAATTAAAAAATTAAAAAATTAAAATTAACCTCTACCAGGCTTTTGTAGTACATACAACTTTTGATTAACTAAACCACGCTGATGTTACGTAACTCCTGCCACAGAACTCCCTCTCCAAAAGATAGATTATTTACTTTCAAGTAAATGAGGATGAGAAAACCAAAGAGGTGTTTGATGACTTTTTGATAAAGGCTGTAGAGCAGACAAATTTTATAAAATATGCATTCTGCTTCAGTGTGTTTACATCCTTTCAAGGCACAAGTAACTATAATCTCCAAAATATTGTTGCTATTAAAATAATTATTAATTTTTTTAACGTTCAAATGTAAACTGAGAGGGTTAAAATTGGTCAAATATTTTAGTAATCAAGTCCACTAAAATTTTGCAAATTACAATCAATCATTTAAACATCGCATATGACTCAGTTTTTGAAAGTACATAACACATAATAAATCACTCCATAATTGATGTTTTCCATCCTTTCTGCACAAATTTCAGGTTCTGTATTTCAAATTTAGCTTTGAAACTGCCATTTTTCAATAAAAGAATCCAAGAGAAAGGGAGGCAGTTTTCATAACACATATGCCTTATTTACATGGAGGGACAATAGAGAAAAATACAAGAATTATATTATTCCTTACCATAAACCATTAACGTTTTTTATATGTTTGATATTTGAGAATACGTCTTATTCCAATACTTTAAAAAAGGGAAATGGCAAGTCACAGTTAATCTGGGAAAGTTTACGCCATGACACAAAGCATTTAAACATTTCTAAATTCTGAGCTCATCCTTAAAATACCCTAAAATACATAAATTTTAGGTTTGAGACAGAACTTCACATTGACTGATTTTATCATATATACAGCACATGCTGGAGACCAAGGCTTTGTGGTATTATGCAAAGAACTTTTGGAGACTACCTTAAACTATAAAGTGAGCTTTCACCAAAAAAAGATTTCATCTGAAAGTCTCAGCCACATTTTACAATACAAAGGATAACTTAGCTCCAAACAATTCACATCTACGTTAAAATGTTATCTTACTTAAAAGCTTGATTAATGTTAATAAACATTTAAAATAAACATTCTAAAATAGCATTTAAAGTGTTCAAAGATACTCCCAAAATGCTTCTTAAAAAACTTCGAACTGCACACATTTGTGTTCAAAAGGATTTTGTTTACCTGCCAACCAAATGCCCATATATCTCACCATAAAAATCCTTAAACAAGGCCAACTATGTCGACTAGTCAGTAAGAATAATCTAAGTCCCCCATTTTGCATCAAAAGTATTTAAAACGTATTACTCCCTAAAGGTTTCAAGAATGTGCCAATAAAGTACACAATATTTTAATAACTTCACTCACATGTACAATTAAAGTGTTAGGGTTTTTTCTAATATATTTTTCTCAATTCGTGATTAAAAATATTCCAAAATATCAAAAGTAAGGAATAGGATTAGCTTGTAAGAAACGTCCGTGACAGCATAACTGAGGAGCTAAAAAAAAAAAAAAAAAGATAGCAAGCCTTCATAAATCATGTTGCTGAACATATCACCATAAGCTAAGTAATATTTCAAAATATTCAAGAGAAAATAAAGAATATTTTACATATGTACTTGGTGAGAAAGTTATAGGCCACCAACAAAATTAAACCTGAAAACCTATTTCCAAAGTGGTATTACTTTGAATCAGCATCTTAAACATTGATCTGTTTGAAAGTCAGCCAAGCTTCAGAACCTCTGAATGCTAAAATTTCTAGAAACTACTTCTTTTCAATGTTTACCTATAACATTCTGCTAGGATATCATCAGATGGCCAATACATGATTTGGTTGATATGCTCATCCTGGATTGAAACAAGATGTCTAGCCTTTTCTTGGTAAAGTTTTTAAAAATTGCATACAAGTTAAATGGAGTTTATTCTTTCATTTAGAATACTTTTTATCGCTGTTCTTACTACATCTTTTTTTTAATGAGCAATAAACTACCTAAGTTTTTCTTTCTAAAACTGGCTCTAAAGCATTATAAATATTTCAGCAAGTTAAATAAATTGTAAATCAATTTTTAAAAGAAGAACCCATAAAATATATGAGCCCTCATTCACTATTTATTGTACATTTTGTTCACAAACTGTTACACTAAATAAGCGTTTCTCTTTGTGATGTTTTCAGAAGAAGGCCCAGTGAATGCATCAATCAACACTGCCAAATATGAAAGAGGGAGAAAAAGGGGGGGAACCCCCCAAAACTCTCTTAATGTGATAACAGCTTTTGAACCAAGAGAACCCAACTTTATTGAATACCTGACTATGCCCTGGGCCTGCATGGATACACAGGTAACCTCACATATGTACAATCCAAAAATATACATTTATCTTTTCAGAGCTCACTTGAGAACCAATATATAACCAATATCTCTGTTAGTAAGGCCCTTTCCCTCTCCTGCAGCAAACTGGTATTATCTACAAGTTCTACATGTTGCAAACTTCTGCCAGCTAGAACTTCAGCCTCTGAATCTCAGCATTTTCACTGTATACCGTAATTCATTCAAATTATCTTACACTTTGCATCTTATCCATATGCAATTGTGAATCTTGCCAGAAGTGGTTGGAAAAGTTTCATTCCTTACTTCCACAAGTTACTAAAATAAGGAACTTTGGAAGTTTGTTAGGAAAAAAAAAAAAAACTTTTACAATAACAAAAAGCAACTGCTATCCATTATTACTGTTAGGCCTAAATCCCAAACAGACCATTTCAACGTAAAAGATGCACTTAACAGTCTTCTGAGATGAAATAGCTGGTATTATTACTGTTAGATATTGCAATAAGAAGGGCTGTCATGTGAGAAATAAATCCAGAATCTGGACAGCAGAGAGACAACGGCTGATACTTTTTAGCCTCCCGTAAAGTATTCCGGTTAAACCGTTATCTCCTGCTAAACGAAAGCATGAAGTGGTAGCCTTTTTGTTAAGGGAGTGGTGAATAAACATTTTATTTGAAGCATATATCGTCACGAAGGTTGATTAATGGTTAGATCGCGACGTTCCAAAGCAGAATGTTGGTTCACACTTTTTGTCAAAAAAAAAAAAAAATTCTTTCCGCAAAATCACTTCGACTTCATGCCTTTTAGTCAAAGAAAATAAATAATGCATTCAAAAGAGGCCAGATTTGGAGTGGCGAAGGAGCAATATTTTGCCTGGGGGTGGTGCAGACAAGGGAGGGATGGACCGGGAAGGCACGGGAAGGAGGGGCGGAGGGCGCGGGAGCCCCACGCTCCGCCGAGTTGTGTCGGAGGAAAAGTTGCCCCAGTGCTGCGCGCAGAGCGGCCGGAGTCGCGCGGTGGCGGCGGCGGCGGGGGGGGGGGGGGGGGGGGGCGGGGGGAGCCGCGTCCGGCCTGGGCCGCCGCTCGGGCTCGCGGCCGGGAGCCCCACACTCCGCCCGGAGCTGCCTGGCCGCGGCCTCCGCCGCTCGCCGCCCTGCGCAGCGGGGGCTCGTCCCGGCCCCGAAACTTTCACTCGGGGAGAGCGAGCGGGCCGGCAGCGAGCGGCGAGGACGCAGGCTCCACCCGGCCGGCGCAGTGGGACGCGCGTCCCCGCAGCCCGCTCCGCCGGTCTCGCCGCCGCCTGCCTCCGTCCCAGGGGCGCTCTCCGGGCCGGGGCCGAGACTGTGGCCCGGGTCCCTCCCGCGACCGGACCCCGAAGGCTGACAAACAATAAACAAAAGTAAGAGTTCGGGGAGCTGCGCGGGGCTGCGGCGGCGCGGGCTCCGGGGAGCGGGCCGTGGGCGCAGGCACCGGGTCTCCCCGCACCGGGGGCTGCAGCCGGCCCGAGCGTGCGGGGCGCGCGGTGGGCGCCGTCGGCGGCCCCCTCCCCGGGCGCCGCGGAACTCCAGGAACCCTGCTCTCCGGGGCAGAAACGCTGAGTCCAGATTTCAGCGTGTCATGGGCTGCATCCGCGCCGAAACACGTGCGGGGCGGCCCAAAACACCGCCGTTCCGCAGTCCGTCGCCCCGATATTAATTAACGCATTAATAAGAGGGCGCCATTAGCCATGTGCCCACACAAATGGCCGTGCAAGAGGAATGCACCCGCATGGAAACAAAGTTACTTTCTTAAAGCTGTATTTCTCCCCCCCCCTTTGCGGGCACACGCGCGCACACACACAGAAACACGAGCAGACACGGGCACACACCGAGACACAAGCCCCAGGCCCTGCCGGCGCGACGCTGCGCGGTCCCCCCTGCCCAGCCCAGACCTGCCCCCGCCACCCGGGCCCCCAGCCCCCGCACCCAAACAGCTGCTTACCTGGGTGAGACAGAGCGGAGAATACATAACTGCCGGGCGCCGGGGTGTGCGTGTGCGTCTGGGTGTGCGGTTTGGAGGTGTGCGTGAGTGTGGGTGAGAGAGGAGAAAGAGGGAGAAAGGGAGAGAGAGAGAGAAGGGGGAGAAAAAAAAAAATCAAGCCTGCTTCTTGCGTTCACATTTCCAACTCGGCTCAACTGCAGCCAGCCAGCGCTACTGCCGCTCCACGCGCTGAACTTTAACCCCGCCTAGAGTTTCCCTACACTCCACTATACATGTCTCCGGCACGCGGGCGTTAAAGGCATAGCGCACCCTTTCCCGCGCCCGCGCCGCCCGGCCGGGTGCCCGCGAGCTGCCCGCGCGCCCGCCTGCGCCTCCGCTCTGCACCGCACCGCACGGCCGCCGCCCGCTCGCGCCGCCGCCGGGAGGGGTGGGTGGGGGAGGGGGCGGCTGCGGCGCCGCGCGGCCAGCCGGGTCCGGAGTCTCCGCGGCCGCTCACGCTCGCTGCCTCGCTCGCTCGCTCCCTCGCCGTCTCGCTCGCTCGCTCGCTCGCTCTCCCGCTCGCTCCCCGGCCCCCCCCGCCCCCTCCCCGCTCAGCTCATTACTGGGTAGCGCAGTGAGGAGCAGTTACAGTCTGTACTCCGGGCGGCTATAGGCTGCCACAGGATGTGCTTAAGCAAACAAAACTACTTTTCCTTGTCCCCATCCCCCCACCCCCGCCGCAGACCTTCGCGGACCTCGGCGGAGGACTTGGGCAACTTTGCCAGGTTGCCCTGTACCCCCGGGCCACTGCGTGGGCACGGAGGGAACCGAGGAGGAGGCCGAGCGGCACATTTGCATGTATGCAAATTTTGAAAAATCAGACCTCCTAGGTAACTTTTTTTTCCCCCTCTGAAATGCGGTAAGGCTCAAAGCATTGTAATCTCTCCCACGAAGCTTTCTGTGGGAATAGATCCGTCGGCAGAGGTAATTATGCACACAAGCCTGCAAACTTTGTGCAGCTTCAGTCCTATGGTATTCAGGAGCGGGGGTGGTGGGGAATCATTTCACACAGAAGATTCACCCGGATTGGGGGGGGGGCCCGCTGGAGAAAGGAAGGCGGAGATTAATGAGCGTTCTCCCTCCCGGGACTGTTAAACTCGTGGGTTTGAACACAGACGCCATGCAAAAAGTTCTATCACGTTCAGAAACAACAGTAGTTTAGCTGTGACATCTTTTTCTTTTTAGGAGAAAAAAAAAGTGAAAGGGATGTCCCCTTAGGGAAGGGAGATATTCTGATCCACAGACGTGTGCCCAGAACTGGACATAGGCTATCATTACCGTCCCTGTTTCTGAGACACCTCGGGAAGGGCGCCTTTTAAGAATCCCCTTTTTCCCTCCCCCAGGTAATACTTCTTAAAATGGAAAAGAGCTTCCTGCAATTATTTTGGGTTTGCTAAAGTATTGTTTTGGCAGAAAAGGGGGGTGGTTTTTAGGGTTTGGCAAGTTGCCAATAAGCCTGCTTTTCCAGTTTTTTTTTTTTAACCTCATATTTGCCTCTCTAGGCTCTCTTCTCTCCTGGGAGGAAAAAAAGTATACCTACCTTCTCCAAACCCTATCCCATATTTTTCTCCACCCCCCCACCTCCCCCACCCCTGCGCTTCTTGGTAGTTTGCAGCCTGCTGCATTTGACACCCTTCTCAAAATTCCAAAAGGAAGGCGGAGGGTATCACGTTGAAAGGTGCTGGCACACAGACAGGGGAATTTGCTCCTTGGTCGAGGTGACATAGCTAGAGAATAGGGAAGAGCAAATTCCTGTAGGAATGCCCACTCACGTCTGAGGGATGTGTTAAGGCCACTCTCGTGTAGAACTTTTTTTTTTTCCTAAGCAAGGGGCAGTAAATATTCTACTGAAGAAAGTAAAATAAAACCTCTGAAATGATTCTGCTTCTATATAAAGTTATTTTATGCCTGTACCCCAGTTACTTTCTTGCTAAAATAATTCCTGAATGCTGGAAAAACCATTCTCCCTTACACCCCTCCTCCCCGCTTTCACCCTCCTGGGTATCCTTGGAAATAGTTTAGATTATTTATTAAGAGGTGAGGAGAAATAATAATTTCCATCCTTAATAAGAAAGACTATTTTTCCAAACTAAACAACAGCTTTTCCTTAGTTTCTCTTGGACTTCAGAAGGGGAGAAATGTCCTAAAACTAACCCTAGTGAAAAAGACAACATGCCTGGCAGGAGAACCTTTGCTGGGATCTATAACTTCAACGCGCTCCAAGTTTCCTCGATAGAAGTTTCTGGCTGACGGTCCCAACATGTAACTGAGGCACAGTGAGATGACACTGTTCAGAGTGTGTACTCTTGGGAAGCTCGCTTCCAGAGCAGATTAAAATCTTTCTTTTGGTGTATTTTAAAAGATACACTTCACCTCTGCCTCTTTTCAAAACAGCAAAGGTTCTTACTTTTGTTGAGACTCAAGGAGAAAAAAAGAGTTTTGTTTTTAAGGACTGGCACGTCCTTTTTTAAAAAGGAGGGGGAAGTAATTTAATGTTGATATTTCTACTTTAAAAACTTCTTTTGTTTCAGCGATGGATGTGCCTGCGATTTCCAGCTTTCTGCGGTTAGGAATATTATCTTAAGTAACTTTTGGCGCCCTTCGTAAGACTTTTGGATATGGGACGATTGTTTGCGCCCTCTAGGCAAAGGCTGGATCCAAGTTCAGCACCAAAGCCCTTCACATCCGCTCCTGCTTTCTCTCCCATCTCCGCCAGCTCCCGCTCCCTCCCCCGCGGGGGGGGGGAGGGCGGAGGAAACAACTACAAAGGATAGTTCCAACTACAGGCTTTGGACACAAGACTGAGAAAAATACAGTAGAAGAGTTACAGTTACAGAAAGGCTTCTGGTAACTTTCTCTCCAACAGGCATAAATTTAAACACACACACAAAGAAACAGATGTTCTTCAAAGGGCAGACTGGGGGTGAAAAACATTTCCAACTCTCTCCCCTTTTCCCAAGTTGCAAAAGTAAATCCTGTCTAGAGTTGACAAAGAAGACACTGGCGAGACAGCAGGGATGGAGGGAGAGGGGAAGAAAGAAGGGACAGCAAAGACAGCAGGGTAGGAAACAGGTGAAGTACACAAGCTAGTTTCTGCAATCACATAAATGACCCATTTTTAGGAAGGATAAACCCCTTATTGGAAGTAACTGTTCCCGTCATGTATTTTGCAAGTGGTAGGAGGCTGCCTTGAAATGGGATTGTCTCTGCGCAAAGGAGGCTCCTGTCACGCTCTCTGCTATCCATATTCTTCCTGGCACAGGGCCCAGCCTTGCATTTACTGTGCTTTATTTGCAGAAACGTTACCTTGCCAGCTTTAGTGAAATCCTCTTAGATATATAAATTACGTCAATAAGGTTTCACTTATATGTACATCTCGGATAGCTCTCATTTAGAGGTTACTTAATAGGGAGATCTTATTAATATGATTTAAATTTTAATGCTCAGAGCAGTGAACATGGGACTGGGATTCCTAAGTGACACCACCATAAACTCTGCAGTTCTTACCAAGACTAACTTTATTAACTAGAATTTTTTTCAACATTTTTCTTCTCTCGTTTTTGACCTGGTGGTCCCTTGTGTGCAGATTTTTTTTTATGTGCATATAATCTTAAATTGAATCAGGTTGCTGAAGTGAACATCCAAGAGAATTCTTACATCAAATTTCCAAACCAGATTTGACTGGAAGGCCTAAAGCCTTGAGAAATAGCTCGATGGGAATTTAATCCAAAGAAGGGAAAGAGCCCATATTATTTTCTACTCACTTCCCAACAGAATGAGGTGTCTACACTGCTCAGAGGAGATGGATATATTTTAGTCAGAGGCTGCCAATTACTGTCTCCAAGACAAGCTACTACAGTTGGTTTCCACTGGATTAGTATCAAGGGCTTGTCCAAGAGGCCAGACTCCAGCCAACAGTTAACAAGTCAGCAATCTTCCACACTCCTCTCCATGGGGGTGGTTGTGGGAACAAGTAGAGATGTGGACTCGGCCAGTCTTATCCCACTTCCTACTGACCATGCTCTTAAACAGAAGTTCCCCTCCTCCTTTCCAACATATAAAACAGCTGTCAGTCCACCTGTGAAACATTCTCCCTCCCTTGAAACTGCTGTTTAGAGTTCAAGAGGAGAGAGACTCACTCATTCCTTCAAAGTACTTGAAATGCCAAGGCTTCTAAGATAATCACAGTGAGAGGTTCAGTAATGCTGAGTATGCAGTGTTACTTCCCGAAGCTCACTGCAGTCCCACAATTCAGGCAAGAAGCAAGCTACATTGTTCTTGAAGAAGTTGAACTTCACCTTCCAAAACAGTTACCAACTTCTCTGAGTTTAAAAATAACTAACCCAAAGTTAATAACTCATGCAAAGTTATTCTCTTGCAGAATTTGTCTGACTTTTTCCAAAGGGCAAGGAAAAAGGCATACAATTAATGCAAAAATCCTCCGATCAGCTTTTTTTTTCCCCCATAAACTCAAAAACCCTTTCCTATTGTGCTCGCTAAATCCGGAAGAGCTTGTAGCTTTGACAGCTTGAGCTGCACCTTCCCGTTCAGAGCCGCAGAGAACTTCAGTTCTCCTCTGTCCCGCCCCCTCTGGCTACTGAGAACCATTGCACACCCAAACCTTTTCGTGATTGGGTAGCGCTTTTGTCAATCTCCTATGTTCTCCCATTGATTAGAGGATCAAATCGTCAATTATTTCCCCGGTCCAGACATTTCTTTTCGGGTTAGGTTGACTGTTGAGGGCAGACGTCTTTTACAGAACAGAGCACGTACAGGATTTCCCCCCACCCCTTTCTGGAACAGAGCAAGCGCTAGGAGGGAAAAAAAAAAAAAAATCTGTCAAGCTCAGCAATTTTTTTTCAAATCCCCGGGGGAAAAAAAAAAAAAAAGGAAACCCGGTCTCTGATGCATCTAGCAAAAACACCATCCACAAAGCTACATCTTTTAAACAAAACCATCACAATAGACATTTACCCAGCAATCACTTAAGTGCATATGCCAGCTAGAGAAATTTTAAAGTGTTAGCCATTAAACAAATCATTCTACCATTGTTTATAAAACGCATATCATATAAATGCAAAATAGAGAGTTTAAGAGGGACCACGTACCATTGCAACGTAAAAAGAGTACGTGAGAAACTTTAGAATGCTCGGACGAATTGCTTCATTAGTTGTCCTTTTTTGTTTGCATTTTAAAAATATCTAAATAAACTTGGAACCGTTGAAAACCCGGAAGAGATTTTTTTTTAAGCTGTTAGCCAATTACAGGCTTCTTGGACATTTTTTTTTTTTTTAACTCCAAATCAGGCTTTTGCAATTCATTCTCTCTCTCTCTCTCCCTCTCTCTCTCTCTCTTTCTGGGATGGCTGGGTTCTCAGAGTCTCTCTTTGCCTGGCGTGCTTTGGATTGTACGAGACTTTGCAGAAGTTGCAATCGATTAGGCAGCCCCTCGCTGCTCTCCCACAGTCCCGCTATCCTCTCCCTACCCCCTTGTTTATTTCCTCTATTGC